TCTCACATACGATGCTGTCGCTCCGATTAAATCCTTGTATTTGCACCACCGAAAAGGCACGGGCACACAGCATAAACGTGTTCTGGACGTCCCAGGCGGCCGCGTCCCCAGGTATCACAACGGTAAAGCACGGCGGCGCGCTCGACTGGGTCCACTCCAGCCGTCTGGGGCTAGCGATGCACGACGACCCGCCCGCCACGCACGAGCTGACGCCCCCAGGTGGCGCCGGGCCGACTGGAACGCCCCTGGCGACCGGGGGCCGAAGCACAGCCGGCTCGCCGCGTGGCCTCGCCCAGAGATTACTCATGATCACAGCGCGCTCGGCGAGAGACGCCGGGCCGTGGCACGGCACCACGCATACCCGCCTGACATGCACGCGGCGTCACAAACGTCGTCCGCCGGCAGGCACGACTCTGGAATGGGATGGGCTCCGCGGCCGGCCGGCGCAGTACGGCCCGCCGTGGCGCTTACGTGGCTGAACGGGACCGCTGCCGCCGGCCGCCACGGCCGCTCCAATGGAATGTTGCGCTCCCCTCGGCATCGGTCCCAGCCGGCGCGAGGTCCGCTGGGGCGCCCAGCATGTCATCTGGAGAGCCGTTACTTCTTCTTGAACAGTCCCGATATCTGGGACGACTTGGACTGGATGGTGGACGAGCTGAGCATCTTGGTGACCCGACTGCGCACCTCCTCCATGCCCTGCTGCACGGCCGGCACCGGCGCCAGCGGCCTACAGACCGGACGGGGTCATCGTCATCAAGCGACGCCACAGCAGCGGCCACAGCTGCCGCCGGTAGGTAGTCAGACCGGTCCTCACCTCTGTCACACCGCCGGACCTCCCACAAACAGGCTATCAGGCATGCATGCATAGCCCCGCGGTAAGTGGACGCGGATAACACAAACACAGCAACGACAGACATCGAACGGGGGTCAACGGGAATCATCGAAGTCATCAATGTAAGCAATCTCAACAGAGTCAAACCTAGTCATTATGGTCCAATGTGTGAGCTTAAGACTTCTTCAATGAGATCTCACCGTTTTGGAAAGTTGACCTTGTCAAGATGAGTCCCCACCCCACTCGTGGCTCAGGTACAAGGCAGTACGCGCACAAGTACAGCGCGAGAAACAGTTGGCCGGCGGGATAAGGGAAAGATTCGTTTCCCCCGATGCCTTGAGAAGCACTAGTTAAGTTCGCTTTCGAAAAAAGTTAAACGACTCGCCACGAGGAAGGCAACATTTGGCAAGGGGGAAGTGAAAACGAATTGACGGCGGTTACGATTAGTCACCGCTGCTGTGCATAACTGGCAAGGGGGAAGTGAAGACGAATTGACGGCGGTTGCGATTAGTCACCGCTGCTGTGCATAACCAAGATCGAGATTTTACGCACCTAACATGTTTCAATAGGTTCTTTGCAGTCGTGCGAGCCATTTCGGTGAATCATGAGAATTATTGGATTATTCAAGCGGCACAACGCAAAGTAATTAATAAGAACTCGAACTTTTCAGTCCATATTCTCGGTATGACATGAACACAGAATGGTAAACAGTCAGATAAATTTTAATGCCGCTGTTTGAGCCGTTTTTATTTTGACGTAGACCGGTCCAGGAATATTTTAGACGGAAAGTAGTCATGATGATGCATCATCATTACATGTTTAATGCCGTTATTATTTCCTTCAAACGTATGAATGGCGAGGCGAGGCCCCGCACGGCGTGCCCAAGGTGTTCGGGTGTCCAGAAGAGAACCATATCTACGCCTTTCGTTTTTAACAGAAACGTGTCGCACGTCGCTAAGCCCCTTTTTACGGCCCTAAGGGGCCATAGCGCTACCGGATTCGAAGCTACCCGGCCACTACACCCTCCCCCCCCCCCTCCCTCATATACCTTTGGGGCAGTTTCGCCATTTTTCCTCCCTGCCTTTCCTCCCGTAAATCCCTCAGCGCAAAAATATCAGATATTGCTTCCGCATGCATCATACACGTGCCCACGCTACATGAAACGCCAACGGGCTTCTCATGGGCAACTGAACAGTTACGTCCTTGACCGCACGGTTGCCAGCCATCCAGCCAGCCTGGCATCCAGTCATCATCGTCATACATCGGCTCACCCCTGGCACTTCAAATCTGGTCAGTGTGTCAAAATCTAACAAGCACGCACACATACATGTATATATAAATATATATATATATATATATATATATATATATATATATATATATATATATATATATTTGGCACCCTCGAACCGCCTCTGTCTCAATCGTACGTTGGATAGATAAGGGCGATCGTGCAGGGGCGCCAAGCTATGCACATGATGGAGGGGGCCGGGCCGAGAACCCAACAACTCAACCTTCTCAAATGTGTCTCTGAGCGGATTTCGTTTACATTGCTTTGAAGAACAGCAACTTTCTTTTTATAATTTTGCATCATCCATCACATAGCCCTTTATTTTGGTAGCTTGGTAATCATAGCCACCACACGTTCCCCACAGAGCGTTAGTGCTGCGCACATTTTTTTAGCAAGAGGGGCCTTCGCCAACGCTCAAGGCGGGGTCGAGTGAATAGGACTGGATGGGGGGGGGGGGGGGGGAGGGGCTCACAAAAATATAAATCGGCATCCCTGAATATAAGTACCTTCTATGTATACGTGAGTTGCATTTGAACTACCAATGACCCAAGAGTAAGCGAAGAGAAGGTATAACGCCGTTAACATGGGGATCGCCGGGCAGTAGGGCTGCACCTTATGACGCAACGTGACGCGTGTCTGTAGAACTGTAAAAAAAAAATAGCTGGGTTGCACCGGTAGTGAAACATTCCACGGAAAACTGCAAACATAACTCAAAAGTTGCGAGCGCTGCAGTGGAATTCCACTGAGGTGCCTGGAGTCAGTCCACACGGCCCCGAGGTCAACGGGAGGTGAGCACGCGGCCGCGGATCGCCACGGCTGGCCAGCCGCGGCCCGCCGCCTGATGCCACTGGCACAATAAACAGACTGCCCGGCCGTCAGCGCCTCCGAGACATCGTGCATCAATGAGATCATCGTGGGATGGCGAAGACCCCGAACGTCGGCCGCCATAACCCTCACCCTGGTGGGAGCGGGGTGACGCAGCCCCCAACGTTTTGTTACGATATTTATCGAGTGTGTTGGGCAATCGCGCCCCAATTTCCAGAAGCCCATGGGGCATCCATTGCGCGTGTTTTGATACCAAAAACGTGCTCCAAGCTTTTCTGTTTTCGGAACAGCGGCGGTTTTTAAGGAACACTGGACGGCGATGTACCTGAGCGGGCGCCGGACGGCAACCGGCGATGCCGCGGAAGGCGCGCGGCGGCCCCACCTTGTTTCATTCACGATGCCATATACCTCAAGTCTATGCTCAAAATACATCAAAACATACACCATTGTACTCGGAATTGAACAAGAAACACGTCTGTCAAAGTTTCGTGTCGCCACAAGACATGCTCTCGTATAATGTTGTAAAGCTGGAACAGTGCGATTTCTGGAAAATTTCACCTATGACTTGCCATAATGGGGTCAATTGTTATTGACCTAACAGTATACAAACTAGTACCAATCGCGAGAATCCGTTGAGACCAGCCGCTGGTGTTTTCCCCCAAAATCTATCTTCATTAGTTTGGAAGCGCTAGGAGGGGCCGCGTTACTCCTACCCCTTCCCTATCCCACTATCAGTAGAGTTAAACAAGGTGAGAATCGTCACCTGCCGCCGTCCCAGCGAAGTCGTGCAGCTTGCATTTTACAAACAAAGCAACGTACCAATAACAGCCGAGGGTGAAACGCGAGGGTTCATTTCTGAGGACTATACAAACAATGCGCGTCTAACACCACGTCGCTGCGCCGCTGGAGGGCACCTGCGGTGGGCGCGGCGAACTCACTGCGAGGACGGCGTCTCAGGAGCCGGGGCCGTCACGCGCTGCTCGAAATCCCTGATGAGAGCGGCGGCCACGTCTGCCTGAGGCATGCTCTGGGCGACCAGCGTGTCCAGCACGCACCTGGCGGCAAGCACGGGAACTATAACCCTACGCTTACGCTCTGCATTAGGCACGTCAGAGCAACAGACACTGAACTGTCCAGCGCTTTTACATCCGCACGCACGGGCAAGGGGCTGCGCAGGGATGGCACGCCCTGGGGAACAGACCCCCTCTCCGACATGACTTCCGACTTCCAGCACATGGCAGCACCAGCCGTCAGCACAGGCAAACTTCGAGGCCTTTCGTCACCGGCGTCGTGTCGTCATGCTGGGACGGGCACCTACACATGCAACGCAGTTGGTGGGGAACGGCCAAAGGCGCGTCAGCTGCGCGAGGTGTGGGTGACCCGACCACGCTCAGACCGTGACTCTGCCCCCTACGGCAACTTGGTAACCGTCTTCAGCTACCGCCACCTCACAAGCGCTTCGCCGGACGCGGCGGACGGCAACGAGTTCGCTGCAGGCTGCTGCGTACTCCGGACCGGAGGCCTGGTCGGCGCGCCACTCCTCAGGACCGGCGGTCACATGACGGGTGCTCACCGGAGCGCGGGCAGCACGTGGCGCTGCACGGCCTCGGGCGGCACGTGGCCGCACGCTAGCGCCGTATACGCGTCGAGCAGAGTACGCGCGTCGGCCGGCAGCCGGCGCTCGGCCAGCTCGGCCAGCCGCGGCAGGCAGAACAGCGTGTGTCGGCCGGCGGCGGCGGCGCGGCCCAGCGCAGCGGCCAGCGGCGCGCCCAGCTGCGCGTCGCGGCACAGCGCCGCCAGCTGCAGCTGCGCCTTCTCGGCAGGCTCGCGGCCGGCGCTCGTCTCCAGCACGAGCCCCAGCGCCGGCACAGCGGCGCGCCGCACCAGCCTGCGAAGCGGACAGCGGAGGCGCGTCAGCCGGTGGCAGGGCGGCGCGGCGGCGCGGCGAAGCACCCCCACACGGTAAGCGCCGGCCACATCGACACGGACCAGAACATATTGCGGCATGGCGCAGATCACGAACGAAGGCGGAGAGAGCCGGGAGGTAAGCAAGAACACAGGGGTACGCTAATTAGTAATTACTGTGTTCCGAAATTTAATTGTCCGCACATGAGGCACAGCAATGAAGGACAGTTCATTTATGTGGGGCGCCTACTTATGTTGCATGGTGACAAGTGTAAACCAAGATGAAAGGAAGTGGAAAAGACACTCGATGAGTAAACAGTCAGCCGGCTCGGTCGGATTCAAGCCTCTTTATGAACAGGCTGCGACACTTCTGTGATTGCAGCCGGCCCCAAGCGCTTGGAGGCCCCGTCCTGCACCAGCTGGCGGCGGCAGAGCACGCCCTTGGAGGAATGGAGGGAGGTCCTGGCCTGACTTCTCGGCTGTGCGGCCAGGGGTCGGGCGACTGGGAGGAGAGTGGGCGGGACCAGACTCACGGCTGCGCGTCGGAGGCGAGCGTCACGAGCGCGGGCAGGACGCGGCCCGTCAGCACACTCTCCGACACCTCCGGCACCAGCAGCGCCGCCAGGTGGCCCGTTGTCTCACGCACCTCCGTCACCGCGTGCATCACCCCTGCGCACGCACAGCGGGTCGGGTCACACACGACGGGGCCGCCACCGGTATCCACGCGGCCGCTGTGCGCAGTCGGGCGGCTGAAGATACCCCTCACAACCCTGGTACGAGGTCTCAAGTGCGGACTTACTGACTGAAGGTCCGAATCAACGACCTTCTACCACGCAATCATTAATATGGCTGTTTGAGGCTGGCCACTTGCCTTAACAGCACCTTTTCTCCACCCAACGTGTTCAACTTCAAGGAATGAACAGAAGATTGCTTGCTTATTTCACTGCTCAAAAAGCTTGCTCACTTTCTCCAAACGTATTTTGATTAGGTCGGGCCATGCGTGAGATTAGCAGCAGAAAATGAAATGAAGCAATGCTGCATCTCTCTCTTCACACAGTCCGACGGGACCGATTGCGAGAGCCGTTCTGTGCCGGCGCGCGCTCACCCTTCCAGACGATGTCCAGCAGCGCGGCATGCCGCTCGGGCTGGTCCAGCAGCAGGCGGACGGCGGCCGCCAGCGGTTCGCCGGTCAGCCGACAGGCGGCGCTCAGGTAGAGCGCGTCCTGAAGGGCACGTGCCAGGCGGGCCTCGGCGGCCGGCTGCGGCGCCGCCAGCAGGCCGGCGCAGGCGGCCGGCAGCAAGGCCGACGTCAGGCCTGGCGGTGGGTCATCCCCGCTGCCGCCGCGCAGGCGTGACTCGCAGCACGGCCACAGCTGCCGACGCCGCCCAACGGCACGGGTCAGAGCACAGCCGGCCGGCGCACCCACGCGGGGTCACCATCCTGGCCACCCGGCGAAGGTCGGGTCCGGTGGCACGGCTCCTCCGCCGATGCCTCGGGGCACGGCCCAGTGAGTCGCACCTCACAGGCACCGATCAAACGACGAATGCAGCACGGCAAAATATTATTCGCTCTGATTCGAGTACAGCAAAAGTTGGCCAGACGGGTCTACTGTGGCGTTTGCCCACACAAACCAAGCATCACGGCAGATCGGACCCCACCAAGACTGGCCACGGACCCGGCAGCGGCCCGCGCGCGAGGCGGCGTCCCTGGCCGACGGCCGGCCAGACCCACCTTTGTGTCGGTGATGGTGGGGCCGAGCAGGTGCGCCAGGTGGCGCAGCAGCAGCGCCATGTCGTACACGGCGTCCGGAAACGACAGCGGCAGCGTCTCGGCCAACGCCAGCAGCTCCGGAACGCTGGAGCACGGCGGCGCGCCACGCGCTTTGCGTCAGCTGACTCGCCTCCACCCCACGTGATCGTTAAATGACCGACGCAGTCCACGCGCCCCTTAGACGCCAAATACTGCTTCTGGTAGTATTATTAGTTGCATGCCAGAGAATAAGCTGCATTTTGCGCGATAAAAAAGACGATGCAGCCACGAGGAAAACGCCACAAATGTCATACGAGCGCACAGAGGCCGACACTACCCCCGATGTCACAGCAGCCAACTCTCGACACGAACACTGCACGGCTCTGAGGGCCACAACGGATGGCGGCAAGCGGCTCCAGGACGAAGCTCCGTGATGTGGAAGCGTCCTCCACGGTGAGACAGTCGGAGAGGACAGCTCCAGCTAGCCGGACACTGTCGACCGGGCACGCCTGGCCAGCACACAAATGCCATCCTTTCATCTTATAGACTCCAACTTCACCTTCCCTTCTTCAGTTTCCAGCCGAGTGCAAAAGTTTTCGTGGCCTGGGCCATCGCGTGGGCGCGGGCACGGATAACAGTTGACTAGCCTTGCAGTGGCTGGGATGACACGGCATCAGCAGCGTTGCTACAAGCCATGACCACACTGGCGCCTTCACGAGCCTGAATGAACCCTGCGCCCCAGGGGCGGCTCAGCCGCTGCCCAACCCTCACACCGCTGCTAGTTAGCGCGTCACGAGGCCGGTGCTGGCCGCCGCTTTGGGGCTGCCCGCTCTCCAGCTTGGACAGCCGGAAAGACTTCGTGAATGACTGTTAGATTGCCGCGCAGGGCGTTGTCGTATTGTACGGCAAAGTCCTGAAACCGCCTGCCGCCTGCCACTGTAAGCTCCCGCAGCCGTGCTGTGTTCATGTCTGGACTTGACCAATTTGACAGGTAAAGCTTCTTGCTTCTGTGCGCCCTTTCTACGTTATCTTCGTCGTTGTCACATTTTCGTTTTTATTGCACAGCATGAAGCCCATCGACTAGAAACAAGTATTAAGCCATAAATATTGAATGATTCATAATGAAAACATGATGATAATAATTATCATGATGGTGGCTGCCGCGGTCAAGTGTGTGTTTGCTTGCCAGCATGCAGTCAGCTTGCCACTGCTATGGCAAGCTATCACAGTGTGATTTGAAAGCTCGTCGCCAGATGGCAGCAAAACCGACACAAATTCCGTTGGAAGGGTCTGTCAATAGTCGCTCACCGGGCAGCCGCGACACTCACCACTCTGTCAGCATCCATTCGAGCGCGGGCCACATCTGGTGCCACTCCTGCGAGACGTAGCTGTCGAAGGCCGCCACCATGTGTCGCAGCCGTCGGCCGTCGCCGTGTAGCACCTCCAGGTCGTTGAGCGGGCCGGCCGGCGGCGGCAGACGGCCGTCTGCGGGTCAGGCAGCCGCCGCCAGCACGGTCAGCGGCGGACACGTCCCGCTTCAGAGGCTGCCACGCCGATGTGTTGTTGTCATTGGATCTTTACGACGCACTCGACATCTAAGGCTAGCTGGCATCGTTCACCTTTCGTCCTCACAAAAGGCAGACAACGCGGCGAAATGAACCGATACCTCTGGTTGCCCAAGCGTGCAGCTTAACCACAGCGCCGCCGGCAACCCGAACAAAGCAACGGGTCCCAAAAGGCTGCATGAGCTGCACACCTGGGGAATGTCCCAGCTCACAGCCGGGCGACAAGACGTGAGGACGAGCGGCGTGCAGCCAGTGCAGCCGCACACCATACACGACCGGGTCACCCGACCCTGGCACGAGGCTGAGAGAGCGGCAACGTCGCGGTACGTGTCCGGGCCGCGTGGCCGGGGTGGCGTCTGGCGCTCACCGGCGATTCCCATGGCGTCGTCATCGGCCCTGTCCAGGTGCGGCCCAGCCGCGACCACGCCCAGGAAGGCGTGCTCCAGCAGTGTGTGCAGCGCCTGCAGCCACACCGTCACCGTCCAGTCGGCCGGCTGCCTCTGTCGGACGGCGGCAGCGGAGGGTCACACGCTGGCCGGCCGTGCCGCCGCGGGCGCCAGCGCACCGAAAACGGCGAGTCCTCGGCGGAGCACGTATTGCACCAATGCCTTGCGCTATGAAAAGGGGTGCACTTCTGGCGTCATCTAATCCCGGCCAGGCCGCGTGCGGGATTAAGACCGCCGTGCCCAGCGCATGACCACTCGCCCCCCCCCCCCCTTCCTAAGTCGGTACGTGACGCTGACCACACGCACGCGGCCCACCAATTAGCCCGAATCCGTCCCACCCAGCCGAACCTGCCCGCCAGCGCGTGAGCGGCGCGGCGTCGTACCTGCGCCGCCTGGCGGGCGGCGACCAGCGCGTGCGGTATGAGCCTCTCTGCCAGACGGTCGAGCTGGCCGGCCCAGCGCGCCACCACCGGCAGCAGGTGGTCGGCGGCGGCCCGCTGCACCGGCTCGCTGCGGTCCTCCAGCAGGCGCGCAGTCAGGTCCCACACCTGCCGCAGCACCGTGCGGACGGGTCAGGGCGGGTGCGGAGTCCGGGCTCATAACAGCCCCGTCACACCCGTGCACGGCTCTGGTCCAGACTGGTCAGGGGAGTGCATACAGAGTTACGAGCATACGAAGTCTGGTGTTTACGCACACCTGGGAACATGCATGACATAACAGAGGGTAGACGACCTAGACGAACATCCAAACACTGTCCCTCTCCTTCGCGCGACACTCACTCCACGTCGTTACGTTACAGCCATTGACCTGCTCGAAAGAACCCCGACCCTGGGCGTCGCGCAGACCGCGTCACGCGGCGGCTGACCTGAGAAAATTTGTCGTCGTCGTCGCAATGTACTAGCACGACGGCCATGCCCCTGACGGCAGCCTCGCGCACCGATGCCTCCTTCTCGTCCGTCACCATCTGGTGCAGCATCGACCAGACCAGCGAACCGCGTAGCTCCGGCTGTCGGGTCAGGACAGGTCACAGCAGGTCAGGTCAAGGACCACATCGACTTGACCAGCATGTCATGCAGCTTAGTGCCAGGTCAGAACGGGTCACAACAGGTCATGACGCAGAACACATAGACCTGACCAGCGTGCCATGCAGCTCAAGATGTCAGGTCAGGACGGGTCGCAGCAGGTCAGGAAGGGTCACAGCAGATCATGGCACAGAACACTTGGTCACGACTAGCGCGCCGCGCAGCTCCGCCTGTCCAGTTGAAGCTAGGTGACGGGGGGCTGCAACAGACCCGCACGCCTTGGGACGGGGCGGGTAAGGGGGCACGAACACGTGAGGCAACAGTGACTAAACACGACACAGAACTGGCACTCAAACGACTAAAGCCGCAGGGCAGTGGTATGTATTACTGCATCAGAGGGCGCCAGCAGACCTTCCAAGGGCAAACATGAGTTTCCAGTTCAGGCGCTCGCCTCACTTCATGTCCAGCGCGAACGTGCCATCCGCCCAGACGACGGGCTGGACATCGTGCGTGCTTGAGAGCGTGTGTCCACGTCGCCCGTGAACAGTACCGTCGCTCCGGCAGCCGGCCCCTGGCAGCCGGCGCCGGCTCGGCCGCTGCCCCGCCGCTAACTGACCGGTATGGAGGGCGCCAGCACGGCGCAGGCCTCGGCCACCAGCAGACGCCGCTCGAAGTACTTGTGGCTGATCTGTTCCCAGCACTGGGGCAGCACCTCCTCCTCCAGCCGGCCGGGACAGAGCTGCGACACCAGCGACCGGAACCCTGGCGAGCAACAGTGTCAGTACAGGCGCGGCGTAGGCGCCGGGTCCTGCGGATGGCACACACGTCACCGCGGCACCGGCGACGAACCGTGCACCGTTTGGGGAGACATCCTGCGAACACGTGAAAACGAGGCAAGCTACAGTGCAGACGATGATCGAAGACAAAATGCCACGTGGCTAAGCGGCGTTTTAGAGCCGGGCACAGCGCAACAGCCCGACGCGCCGACAAAGCGAGGCGCCCCCTGCCCCGCCGTCGGCCGGCGCGGGCGCTGACCAGCCAAGATGACGGCGCGCTGCTGCTGGTCGGGCCGCTTGATCAGGTTGAAGAGCAGGTTGAGCAGCTGGTCGCGCTGCCGGATGTCGGGGTGTAGCTGGATGGCAGTCAGCAGCAGCGGGATGAGCTCCTGCCGGCCGGCACGTCGGCGTCACGGTTGGGCACCTGGCCGTCCACGCGCGCGGCCGCACCCTCCCGGCGCCATTCGGGCCACGGTGGCCGCGCTGGCGGGCAGTCACGCGAGTCCGCGCCCTGGTCCCACGCTTGACGGACAATGGCCTGGTTTGAGCTCGGTCACCAGCGTTCGGGACAGTCCGTGTGCAGTAGGGCCAGCCACAAGGTGGGCTCCACCTTCGGTTAGGACTCCAAGGTCAGTATGGAAACATGCAGTGCCTGATACAGGCCGAGCCGACGGAGCAGCTCCGCATAAGCCCGCCATTACGCTGTGTATGGAGGGGGGGGGGGGGGGGCTTTCCAGAGTATGCCGTTGCCCGCACTGGAATAGACGACTAGAGGGTGTTCTATTATGCCAAGCAGCGGATTCTGCTGGTGCTTTGACCATGCCGAGGCATGATTTACGCGCACGTAGCTACAACCATGTTTTGGGAACCTTACATGCGTTGAGATAAGCGAAAGTTTCAAGGAATTCGGCCCAATATCGACGATATTCAGTTTGTGTTTGCCGGACGACAGGGCTTTTTTAATTACCCTTTTGACCCACGCTGAAAGCGAAACAAACAAAGAAGTACCGTTTGTTTCATGTGCAAATTGCGTTATGATGCAGTGCGTTGAAACTATACATTCTATAGAAAGAAAAACACCAAAACGTATGTGAAAGTAGTCATAAGAAATACACCACACATGTAGCTACACGCAGTCCATATGTCACATGTTGAATAGAAAACTCTTGCAGAAATACTACAGGATAATGCTCAAAAGATTGAAAAATAGGCATAACTAACGAATAAGACGATCTCAAAATTATACCAAGTGAAGAGCACCAATTTGCCTTACTTTAGGCCATGCCTAATACGCCGACGATTCGACACGGCCCCTAAACCCACACCCGTACCTGACGGGCCGTCCCGGCCGGCCGGCGGCGGCGGCGACGGCGGCGGGGCCTACCTCGCGTTTGGCCAGGATGACGTTGGGCACGATGTGAGGCAGGCAGCGGGCTAGTTGAAGCACAGCCTGCTCGGCCGAGCCGCTTAGCTGGGCCACCTCGTGCCGCAGCCGCTGGACGGCCTCGTCGGCGGCCACGGCCGGCTCGCTCACACACGCCGCCAGCACGGCCCGCCGGAAGGTAGCCGGCACGGGGCTGCCAACGGTGCCACAGCACGCGTCACGCGTCACACGTCACGCGAGCGCCGGGCGAGCGGCGAGGCGAGGCGGCGCGGCCGGCCGGCGGACGGTCAGAACACAGCGTCAGGCTGAGGCCGCCTCCACCTGGCCAGCCGATTTTCAAACGGATAGAACGTTCGTGCGAGTCATGCCGACACCCCTCACAGCTGGTTCTCACACGGCTTCCATGAAGCAGCCAATCCCGTCCTCGGGAGTCACACGGCCGGCCGAGCGGCAGCTGCCGCCGGACCGCCGCCCTGGGTCGGGCGGCGCGGCCGGCCGAGCGGCAGCTGCCGCAGGACCGCCGCCCTGCGTCGGGCGGCGCGGCCGGCCGCCGGCCGCACGCACCTGGCGCCGCCCGACGGCTCTCGCTCCGGCTGCTGGCTGGCCAGACGCAGGCAGTTGATGCGGTTCTGGCTCTCCGTGCGGGCCAGCTCTATCTCCAGCGAGTCTTCGCCGGAGGGCGAGTCGGCGGCCGTCGTGCGCGCGCCCGCCAGCTGACTGCAACACGTCGGGAGCGCCAGGTCAGCTGAGGTACGGCCCACAGACCGACCGGCACACGGCACGCGCCAAGGACACGGACACACTTCGCACCGTGGCACCGACACGGCGTACGTGGTGCAAGTACTCCTTTAAACGTGTATCACAAAAGCCAAGGCACATTTCAACCATTTGAAAATACTACCATGCAAATATAACTCGATGCTCATGCAAATCATGCGATGCTCACGCAATGAGGAAATTCACATCAAAAGGAGCAACAACGTGAGGTGGAGCATTCGCATACGACGCTCACAAAACTCTGAAATCATTTTCCCGCATGACTTCCAATGACACGGTACTGAATCGCGACATAGCGAACAGGCACGAGGCCGCACCGGGCCTGTCGGGTACAGCAAAGCACGGCGCGGACGCAGCAGCGCGACCGATGACTCCGGACGTGTCAACGGCCACAAACAGCCCCGCCCGGGCGACGCCAACCTCTCCAGCAGCTGTATCTTGTCCATCAGCAAGGCGATGTCGTTCTGCAGCTGCTGGTGGAGCGGGTCCTCGTCCGTCTGGCAGCCGGCGTCCGTGCCGGGCTCGGCCAGTGCTGGTACCGGAGCCGCCGGCGGGGGCAGCGGGGGCGGCAGCGGGGGCGGCGGCGGAGGCGGCGCCTCGGCCGGCCGGCTGCCGCCCTCTCGGAAGAAGTGCAGCAGCTCCGGAGGCTTGGCCACGTTCAGGCCCACATCATCCCAGTCCTCCACATCCTGTTTACGCATAATACCGTGGTAGGGGAGCACATGATGGCTACGCGGAGTCGCAAGGTGACGTCATGGTCGTTGCTTACCAGGACAAAACACCAGTGAAAACGGCCGATCGGTAAGAGCAAGAAAGGCCTCGAGCTCCATGTTTTTAGGCACTACTTGGAGTTTGTATGCCTCCAATGATCGACCTCCCACATGTCTTGAGGTGCTGCTTTGAGACATCAGCAAACATTGGTTCCATTGCCGTGTGTCGTCAATCTGAATCGATCTTTGCTTGCTGACGTCGTTCAGCCCACACCTTCTGATATACTGAAGGTCGATTATTGCCGGCATTCAGAACACTAAGACTACCGACGTAAATGGCGAATACAACGCTCGATTGACTATTTGACGGAAGAAATTAATTTATAGAACTGATTTCAGAATTACGTAAGTTGTTAAGTGCAATTGCGAGGAGCATTATGCATACAGGCGAAACATTATCAATACCGTTATTTCTCGTAGAATAAACAGGAGAATGGAGAGATGGATGTGATATTTCGGCTACATGCCTTCATCGAAAAGAATATCAGTGCTAAATTCCAAGAATTCGGTACCGACATTCCTTGCAAAAAAGGCATGTAGCTGAGAAAGAACATTTAGGTCTCAGTAATCCTGTTCATTCCACGAGAAATACGGCTACTGTCTCATCGAGCCGACTTCAGCGATGCATGCTTTATCCCATCCGCGAGCGTCATCTCTGAATATAAAGATGGCACAGACCTCAAAGAGGCCCATCACAGAACACTTGCTCTCCTTTCGCTCCTCTGCCCACATGACCCGAACCCCACACAAACTCAGCACCGACTGACCTGGTCCTCGTTCTCGTCGGAGAACGCGATCGAGGAGAGCTTGTAGCCGTGGCGTAGCAGGTACTCGTTGATGAGGAAGTTGAGCGCGCGCCGCTCGTGCGGCTTGATGGGTTCGTCTTCGGAGAACGGCCGGTCGCCGCCCTGGTCGGGCGTGCTCAGCTCTGGGGCCGGTGTGCGTCAGGTCAGTCCTGCACAGCGCCATTCAGAGGAAGGTCCAGATGCACACAGACAGACAGATTGCAGGGGAGTTCACATAAGCAACAGAGTATAACATTGCGTCTCGAAATGCCGTAGGCATCCTGGGGATGATACAGTTAACTATCAGCCGTCACACATGTGAAATCACACATTCCAGATGAATGCCCTGGGAGTCCTCATTATCACAAAAAATCACAAAAGGGAACGCGATGCACGTCGTCATGCCCCTTAAATGAGCGCCAGTGACTGCATTGGCTATAATAGCGCTCAGGGACTATCGCACAATCAGGATTCGAACACGGGCTCCTAAACGTTTTTAGGGGGCGCATCGATTGCAGGTCAAGCAGTATCCCGACATAAAAAACAAGGCCTTAAACCGTCTGCGGCCACGGTGCAGCCGCATTCGGCCCTCCTGCGAGCAGCGGGGGGCCGGCCGGCCGGCTGGAGCGCGTCCCACCTGTGGCGCCCGTGAGGTTGGCCCGCAGTGACTTGATGGTGTCCTGGGCCTTGCGCAGTTCGAACTCCAGCAGCGCCGTCCGCTCGTCCAGTAGTCGCTCGCCGTCCTCCGAGAAGCGGCTCAGGTCGATGGAGTCCAGCGTCGCCTGGCTCGAGGAGCGCGCTGCAATGGCGCCGGCCGGCCGTCAGGTAACGCCGCGGAGCGGCCGGAGGGGCCGACCGCCGGCCTCTCGCCGCGCGGCCTGAGCCGGCAGAAAGCCGACTCCGGTACATCACAGGCATCAGCCAGGTTAATCGTCCCTACCGCAGCCAGCCAGACAAGTTACGGGCCCTGCACAGAGACGCCAGCATCCCCGCACCACTCCAGCACCAGAGGCCTGCACCCCGCACTCACCCAGCTGGCCCGGACCACACCCCCGGCCGGGCACTCACCCAGCTGGCCCGGACCACACCCCCGGCCGGGCACTCACTCAGCTGGCCCGGACCACACCCCCGGCCGGGCACTCACCCAGCTGGACCGTACCACACCCCCGGCCGGGCACTCACCCAGCTGACCCGGGCCACGCCCCCGGCTGGGCACTCACCCAGCTGGCCGCTGAGCTCGGGCTTGAACGGCGTCTGCCGCTCAAAGTTGCCCGGGTTGGAAAAGAAGTTGCGCAGGCGTGGCAGCTCAGCACCCAGCTCGGCCAGCTCACAGTGAAGCTCAAGAGCCGTGAGGTAGAAGTTCTCACGCAGCAGCTTGCGGGCTATGTCGTCGATGGCGATAGGAGGCGAGGCGCCGCTGTCAGCTGGCCGCGGTGGTGCTGCCTCTGCCAGCTCGTCCTCAGAGAATGGATTCATTGCTTGCCTGCCACCACCAGCTGTGACTGGTGGTACTGTCAACAGTTGAGTGCTCAGTCTCGAGACAGAAGTGGCCATTATTTCACATCACTTTTTTTTAGTGTAATGAGCGTGTTTCAGTACATAGCTCAAGATCTTAAAGAAATGTCAGGCAAGGGTACCATGATTAACCATGGGCCAGATGCAGGATTCTTGATTTAGCAGTAAAAAGTAGCACTCGCAGGACAAGTACAAGAACAAGAACAAGAACAAGAACAACAAGATTGTTTTATCCATAAGTGAATCAATGAGGCTGATCAGTCCCAATTCCCACTGGCAGATTACTTTGCTTCACGACATTACAACTCCACTGCAAAATATGGTTGTCTGCTGTTCCACATACATGGTATATTTAATGGTCCAAAATGTGAAAACAGTAAAGCTTCAAAATGTGCTGACTTCTTTGACACTATATCGAACTATAGAGTGTTAGAGAAATGCCTTGCTAAATTTTCAGTGTATATATAAATTTACTCTCCAGCCAATTTCCCTAAATTTACAAGTATTTCACTGTTACATGATGCAGATGTGTGAAGTGTTGTGTGGCCTTGATGACAGCTGACACCTGTGTGTAGCACTTTAAATGTGAAGTAAAACTGTGGTAAATCCCCACAATATGCTTCAGCAACCTGCAACACCTAGCCATATCATGTCTTGCTCCCCACCTATGAATGTTCCCCAAACTAAACATCCAACAACATCATCGGTTCTTAATATCTGCTGTGTCGCTCAAGTGGAAAGTACAGCAGAGCACGACCAATATTACAGAAGGGCATGACCATGGCCCCATTCGATATTACAAAGCCCATTTCAAATTGTTTTCTTGCACAAAACATTCTGTACAACTTCACCTGCCCACTAAGGTTGCTATGTCTTCCAGTCCAGATGCATTCAAAACCCATTAGGACGGGCACTAGACATACACAAGCAAATGAACCAGGCCAATATATCCACAATTAAAATTCCAACGATTACGTTTGTTGGAGGCAATTTGGGGGCAAAAACAAAACAAAATTGACGACCCTGGTTGTAGCTTACATCTAGTGTCCAAAGTCAGCTCCCATGAGTCCAAGATTGTTGTCCTGCCAAGTGTATACGCAGCAATCCACTTCAGCTTCAGCTTCAGGCCAAGCGATGCTGCGTGGACGCCTTGGGATCTGTTATGCACCAATTGACGTCACTGGGACGTAATTGGTAACGACCACATTTTACCAACATGACGGGAGACGCTTCGGTATGTAAGAATGCGATAGTCTCTAGGCATAGAGACCCGTAGTTCAGCCAGTGATTTGAAATCCCGTGCCCCGAGGAGCAGAAACAGGCAAACATGATGCACGGGTAGTAGCAGTGTTACCGCTAAGAAGCGCTGCGCAACGCCCAAGTGGTGGGGGCGTGGCCCCGAAAGCACTTTTCAAAAACAGCTATATGGCTCAATGATTGCTTTTAAATTTTTGGGAGCATCCCCTTATGTGCATCGTCACAGCATGCCATCATGCAAGTAAATTTGCGATATGGCTAAAAGGCCCGTCCTCACGGAAGGTGTAACCGCTGTAATCACCCAGCCTCCTCTAGTTGATGGCGCTCCTCCATACCACGTTTGACATTCGATAGGTGCAAGCAATAGTTTGAAGATATGATGTACGCCAAAATTGTTCATTCTGTCACAGTGCAATGGGCTTTAATCGTCCATAATACCCCAGGCAGAAGCACGTCTGTCGCACACGTAAATCACCCACAGCAAATTCGAATGCGGAAATGAACTCGTCGATTACCCGGTTATGAAAGCATGAGCGTATTATCAAGTTCACTTGAGGGAACTGCCAAAACATTACGCGCCATATTACACACGCAAGAATATGTTTATTCCAAGATCACTACCCATTTCACGTGCACAACTACACAGTGCGTGAAGGTTTTACAACGCACAATGGGTGCTGAAGTGTCCCGCCAGACTAACAACAACGCAGCAAAAGCAGGTCTACCACACACACACACAGCGAAATTCTAATTCCATCTCCGGCACACGACGGAAGTGCAGCCGAGTGTACTCGCGAGGGCGTTCGCCGTGGCGGCAAAGCACTCCGAGACACTAGTTGGTGACCCGTCGACGAGACCTTTGCACGCTGGCTCGCCCGGCGGCCTGTTACGCAGCACCATCCGCAGGGTGGCCGCGACTCAGGATTCCTGGCGTCTCGCGGTGCCGGTCACTTGCCGCATGGGTGCGCTGACCTAGCGGCCGGGGCCGCGCCATTCTCATTCACTCACGGCTGGGCTGCACACCCGTTCCAAGCACGAGTCTCATTCTTATGCTGGTTATCAACCATCATGTACAACACAGCCGTTCACGCTGGACGGCTATGTCGGGCGGCCAAGGACCATCAATTACCCAACTACTTACTAGCTAGGACTCGGTGACTAGTCAAGCCGTCACGGTCATTGCCCACCTCTGTTCCCTACGCGCTGTTCCAGCTCCACCTTCCACCTCTACCGGCGGCGTCCCGCCGTCCGCCTCCCGCCGGTAGAGGTGGAAGCGCCGCCGTCCGACGTCCCGCCGTCCAATCCCAGCTGTTTGGCTCTATCCACCTCTCGTCCTTACACACCTCCTCACTCCACCCTCCTCCCGACGGCCGGACAGCGCAGAACGTGTGCCCCAGTTCTACTCGCGTGCAAAGGCCACCATGCAGATGACCGCGCACACAGTCTCCGCGGCCATGAAGCACAGCTGTGTGGCGCAGAGCACCACTTCTAGGCGCAGGACGTATGTCTGCCACAGCAGGAAGTAGCAGACGGCCAGCGCGGCCGGCACCGTCAGCAGCGCCGCCACGCCTAGCGGCAGTGCGCGCTGCGTCAGGTTGCCGCGCCGCGAAAGGAACAGGCGGGCTGCCTCCGCCGCGGCCAGCAGCAGCACCAGTGCCAGCTCCGAAGCCAGATTGATGGCCGGGTATGGCAGCACTGAGCGCTTCCACAGCAGTAGCAGCAGCGTCAGCAGTACGTAGCCTGCCGTGTACCAGCCGTGCAGGTACGCTAGCAGCTCGTACGCCAAAGACGACGCCATCGATGTGGGGAGCACTGGGAGGGAGCTGATGTGTGCTGGGGAAATGGGTGAACAGTAATCAGGATTTTCTCTATGCAAGTATGCCTGCATTGTCAGGTCGCAAGGGTAGAAAATGGAAGGGGCTTTGCTTCTATCATCTGCCACATACCATTGCAATTTCTGATATGCCTAGATGGCTGCAATTTACTGCCTAACATCACAAGTCCATTAAATTGCTTAGCACCTAACACAGGTGGCAACAATTACTACCACCACTCCAAAAGAATAGGAATAAACTTTCACAATAAATAAATATGACCAACACTCACAGATCTAATTTGCACACAATGCTGCTCCTCTACTTGCTACTTGGGCGTGCTCGGCTTGGGCACACAAAGTCCAAGCCTTTCCTCTGCCAGTTGCTGCTTGCTCTTGGCGACCGGTGTCTCCTGCATGCCATCAGCACTCTGGTCAGCTGCACGGGCCGCCTCCAGCTCGCGCTTGACGCTCTCGTACTCCTGCAGGTCCTCCAGGCGCAGTTCGATCCGCGTCGGTGGCCGTCGGATCATGGCTCGGCGTGGCAACAGCTCAAATGTGGTCTACCTGTGCCACAGAGACCTAGACAGCAGATTAGATGGGATTACCAGTAAAGACAACATCACACACTATCAGCTCCTGGCTTGGCAAATCAAAAATGAGTATGTGCTTCTGTAATACTATCTGACTAGTGCCTCTGGTATGTAGTGTAGTGTAGGATGTAGCATATAGGCGTCGCTGTCGGAAGAGGAGTTCCTGATAAGGCACAACTCGGAGGTGATGAGAGGACACCAATGGAAGCTCAGAAGACCTGGAGCTAGGACCCTCGTCCGTCGAAACTCATTCAGCATGCAAGCTGTCAATGACAAGAATGCTCTTCCACACCCAGTCGTGTTGTCGACCTCAGTTAAACAGTTCAAGTCTAGGCTTGATACGCACTGGGCTGACATCATGTACGACATCCTACGTTGAATCTTCCCATAATTTGAGACTGTTTGGTTACCGGACCAGGAGCCTCACGAGGCTGGGACCTACAGTCCTAGTGGCCTGTTACAATTCCTGATCACCATAAGGTAAGGTAAGGTAGCAGATACTGTTGGCAACTATGTCAGATATTCATCTGATGTCCCAGATGAGGCAAGGCAGAAGAGTGCTGACAGTATAGTGGTTAATGTGTCTGTGTCAACCACTGCATGTCTAGGAAACTAGAAGCACAATGTTAAATTTCCTGTGGTGCCTGCCCTTCCTGCAAGGGTGACAGGCAGGCAATGCTGTGTGGTCTCAGCATCTGAGTATGTTGTACAGCTGCAATGACATGAGGCAGTTAACATCCACCATGAGGTTAAGGCCTCTATACTTACATACACCCCTTGGTGCATGTGATCATATATCACTCACCCTCTCATGAAATAAACATAGCTTACTGCTGGCATGTAAAAAACACACCTCAACTGTTCTGTCTTTGGACAACAGCAAATCCACTCAGTTCCAGCATTTCTGATCCCACATTAAGGCATCAGTCTTGTACTTTGAAGTGTTTAAAGCCTAATATACAGTACATCACTATTTTGTTCAAATACAAGATAATCTAATTGTTTTCTAACCATTTCTGGTGTTGTGTGCCCCTAACTAAGCACATTTAGTTAGTCTAAAAAAGGCAAAACAACTCACACTGTATATTTATATTTAAAGGGCATGAAAAGAGATCAAACAGCAGAAGCTGATATATGAGCATAGTGTGTATTGGAATAAACACCATATTCCGAGTGAAGGGATGAGAATGGTGCATTAATGACACCCCTGCAAGAATGTTTTTCTGCCACCATACCAGGGTAAAAAATATGTGTGCCATCACTTCAACCAGATCACTGATAACCACATCAGAATAAATAGCTTCCTGCTTGGATATACATCAAATAAAACTAAATGCTTACCTACCAGCCAATGAAAATACCATGACCATTTCACATGAATAAATGATATCAAACAATTGTGTGAGGATTTTGTAAAAAGCTACAGTCCTGTTAAAGAAATAATTAAGCTACATATTGTGATGAAATCACTTCCAGATGGAGCTTAGAGCCTGACGTCAAGCATTTGTACCCCCCCCCCCCCCCCCTACGGGCCATATCAAAAGAGACCGGGACACCCATCGATCCACGATCCAAGCACCAATAACAGGCTTGCGGACCGCTTAAAACCAGGAATTCTGACAAATTACAAACATGGAGAGAATGAAATGATGAAATGATATACCTCATTTACGCGTATGCCCTGCACCTCGCAATGCCCCCACCACGCGCTTTCGCGCTGAACATTTGGAAATCGGAATTCCTCGCATGGTCATTCGAGCACGCCTAGGAGCATCACTCACAATGAGATATAATATCAATACAATACATTTTCATATGATGCTGACGGTTTCAGATACACGCGTCTTAAATAGATAAAAGCATATCGTGCATTTCAATAGGTAAAACCGGCGGAATAATTCTGTAATATACCTTGAAAACTACCAAAGTTATTTATGATAGTTAAAGATTGGGATGGCTTTAATGGCGCAGCTGCAACATTTATGGTGGAGCCAAACAAGTAAATACATACGCATTAGCTGCTGTCACTTTTCTCGTGTCTTGGTGTGGCAGGGCCGGTCAGGTCCAATGAAAGCACTCATGAAAGATCAGTGGTTGGGCTTGAATATGTAGTTTTTGAACCGTGTGACCTCTCCAAGGCCGAAAAAGTGTTTTCCAGCTGTTATCTGTGTCAGATTGCCCGTAATATCCATGTCCGATTGTTGTAGTCTATGTCCGATTTTCTCACAGGAATAGTATGGTATTGCTTGTGCATATCGCCACAGCCAGAATTAACTTCTGTATGTTCATGGTACCAGTGCTAGTAAGTAGCTACATTTTCACTAAGGGTGAGACACTTACATTCAGACTCATATGGAATGAGTGTCTGCAGGTCATGTGTGATCCAATTGATTTTATGTGGTGTAGCTTGTAATCATTGTGTGCTTTGGTCCAAGTCATGATCATGTATATTGACCTCTAGTGACCTGATTTAAAGGAATTGTTCCATTTTTGTGTGTGGTTTTGAAATGAAATAGTCATGTTGAAAGTTATTTTTTGTAATTCTAAGCCCCTTCCTTCTTAAGATGTAAACCTTCTAGTTTCTGCACTATACCCATGAATATGTGCAGCCCATTCCAGGCAAACTGTTTCAAGGTCACCAAAGCATCCACAAAACCATATTCAAATAATTCAAATCCAGTTATTCCATCAGCTATGTAGAAATTAAGGCCAATACCAATAAAATTGTTGTGTCTGTAATAGCTGGCACTCATGAGCATGATTTTCAGGTATAATGTTAGTCAATTGGCTCTCAATCATTGTTGCACAAGGTGTGATGACATAATCAAACAATTAAGTTTTGCTGAGTATATTTACTAAGAGAGATTATGTTGTCTAGAGCAGCCCCTTTTACTTAAGGAGGCTGCTCGGTCATGGCAGGAGAGCTTAAATAACTTAAAAGTGTACCAGTTATTGAACCTTTTTCATCATATATAATGCCTGCTTCATTACATTTAAATGTGAAAAAGTCCTGTTAATGAGTAAAATTTTGAAACATGTTTAAATATGCTTATGAATTATAATTGCATACTTAAGAAAAGAAGCTCAACACATAACAGATGAGACATTTGATACTTAAGGTATTTAAATTATCAACTGCAACCTGGCAGAATGCATGATCTGACACTCTACTCCAAGTTTTTCACCCCTTCCGCACACCAGTAATGTAAAATTTATGATTATAATTTCCTAAAATGTTGCAGGGCCAGCTCTTGCCACCAGATGGGGTCTGAAGTGCTAGACTTCTGCTCAGTTGGCCTCTGCCTGGAGATAACATCCAGCTCAGCATGCAGCGATGGGTTTGAACCATCTAACCTGCTAGTGGACGACGACTGTGGCTTCCTGGCAGCTGGCTTTGTGCGGCCGCCAGTCAGCCTGACACTGCGCTTCTGCTGTCCTGTGGTGCTTCGCCAGGTGCGGCTCGGTCTACGCCTCCGCCAGCAGCAGACCACTGGCGTTCAGCTGCTGGTGGCTGCCAGCGAGGGCAACGCTTGGCTGCCGGTCGGCTCACTCTGGGAGCGACACGGCGAGCCGCCGCCGCACGAGGTGGCATTTGTTGATCGGTCAGCGGCCCGGCCCGGCCCGGCGCCGGCCGTGCCGCCGCTGCCGCTCTCCTGCCGCGACCGGGCGGCACTGCGGCGCGTCTCGCAGCTGCGCGTGACGTTGACACGCGCACGCGGCCCCAGCGCACTCTGCCTGAGTAGTCTCAGTGTGTGGGCGGTGCCGGCAGAACCCAACCACTCGGCGCTGCGGGCGGTGCTGCGGGAAAGGCGATCCCGCAGCGCTGCCGGCGCGGGCTCAATCGGGACATCCAGGCCGTCGCCGCCACCGCCTGCCGCGGACCCGGGGCAGCAGGCGGCGAAGCGGGTGGAGGCGGCGCGCGTCCTGCTGGAGCGGCTCGGGCCGAGGCCGCCGGAAGAGTTCGTAGACCCTATCACGTGTGAGGTGATGCTGTTACCGATGGTGCTGCCGTCGGGTCACACGGTCGACCAGGCGACGCTAGAGCGCCATGAGCGCGCCGAAGCCGCCTGGGGTCGGCCGCCTGGTGACCCGTTCTCGGGGGTGCCGTTCGGCGCCGGCTCGCGGCCGGTGCCGGACGCCGCACTCAAGGCGCGCATCGACCATTTCCTGTTCGAGCACGCCGACAAGTCAGCTGAGCTGGCCGCCGTCGGCCGGACGGTGGGACGCGCCCGTAAGCGGCCGGCCTCGCCGCCCTCCCGACCGGCCAGCTACGACCCGCGCGCCGGCGGCGGCGGCGGACTGAGCGGCGCCACGGCGGCCGGCGACCTTGACCTGGCACTGCGAGCTGCCCTCTCAGGGCTGGCGTCGTTCCAGCCGCGGCCGCCGCCGGCGCCGGCGCCCGCCTGCCGTTGCGGCGCCGCCACGACGCTCTACTCGTTACCGTGCAAGCACGCCGTCTGCCGCGCCTGCCTACTGCGTCTACCGAAGGCGGCAGAGTGCGCCACTTGTGGCCAGGCGTTCAGCAAGGGCGACGCCGTCCGCCTGCACAGTTGACAACTGACGGCCGATTAAGGTCATGATTCTCTGTAACGCCACTTCTGACTTTCGACGTGTAGGTTCCTTTGTGTATCAGTAAACATGTCGATTTTGTGTAGTTTTAGCCAAAGAGCCAAATGCTAGCGTCAAGGTATCATTTTTTTGGTAACTTAGACCCACGTATCATGAAATACACGAAATCTAATTATATTTCCACCCTTTTCCCTCGCGGCGATGAGTTGCAGCTCTCCGGTAGCACGTTCGTTTTGACGTCCTCCACTACAATTTTTGTGAGATATTGCGACGCAGTGGCATTTGGTGCTCATGTCTCCACAAGAAAGATCGTGTTTGCAAATCTGTGTCAAATACGAAAGAGATAGCCGCCGATGGCACAAACAGGCGCGGACCGAGCATGGTGACTTGCCATCTGCCCTCGTCTCTTGACGGTACCGACAACGCATTTGGAGCAAGAAAAATTGCATCAGGCAATACACTCAGTCATGTGATGAGTCACTCCCACCACCAGCGGTGGTACGACGGTGCGGCGGGCCTTGCGATGTTTAAGTACATTTTAATGGTTAGTGCCTTCGATTACATCGTTCATCCTACTCTTACTTTATATGCGGTCCGGGTGTACATGACCAAAGCCGTCGAGTCGCCCTCGCCCAACAAAGAGGGGAAAGCGAGAAGCCGCCGCCCTTGATGTTTTCTTTGCAAACTTGGCCACCACAAAACACAAAATGCTCGTTTTTCAGTTGCTGCATTTTACCCATTCTGTCAATGTCGCAGCACATTCTCCCTATGCGTCGTGTCGGGATCTATGACACGTTTATGAACGTCATATGCTTGTCTCATATTTTGCCGCATCGACGACACAGTTAGCTTGTTATCAACTGGACCCTGCTGAGGAGCTTGGGGCACCTTACATGCTTCTTGTGCTGCTATACCTGACTGCTCCTCTAAGATATTTCAGCCAGGAAGGCGGGAGATACGCCCGCACTCGCTCCGGTACACCGTCATAGGCTACATCGATGCGACCATTTTGTCCTGTCGGGTGATCTGCCGAACCGAAGCCCAATCCAAATGCCGACTGGGGTTCAGAAGTTCCATGTATTTGCTTGGGAGTAGGTACCCCGTTAGGTGGCAAATAAACTGATAACCCGAGGGTGCAGTTCTGAGTTCATCTGATGCTTCCGAAAACATGGATAAGTCCTTACGTTACGCGCTTCTTTGGCGTAAGACGCGGCGGTTCGTCCTCGATAAGCTTCCTTCCTGGGTCCCATATTACCGCCTCGTTTCTTGAAACGCATTCAAAACCACGTGTAACTGCCAAGTTTCTTCATTTATTCATATTTATTTTGACCTTACGAATCATTCCACCTACCAAACGTGCTATATTCCGTGCGATCGCTCACGGCCTTTATTACGCGCGTGGCCGTCTCAGCGTTAAAGTAGTGCCCCGGTGACGTCAAATAGAGGTCCTTGCTGAGAAACGCGTTTCGGGACGGTTTAACCTGGTATATTTCGCCTTGAACGGGGCCATGTCGCTTGTTAGTTTCATGGCTCCACCTGATATTGGCGGACGAAATGGCAGAAGTAGTTGTGTCTAACAGCGGGGGCCAGGTGAAGTCTGGCGACTTATTGTTTATTTATATGGGATATGGGATCTATGTGGCCTACACGTGCAAAAGTGCTACGATCTGTGATGAATGCAATATTGTACTATGATTAGCCGTATCAACATCTCTTGGGTGACACTGACGACTAGTTGTGAATATCTTTGCTGATGTGAGAGATATTCAGCACGTGTATATCCGTAGGTAATGTTATGGCCAGGTCAGAATTAGAACACGTGAAACAGAAACCTCTATGTGCAATAGACAGCTCATCTTGCACACCAAATATCGTTGATCTCATCTTTATAGCTGGGAGGTTAGGAAATGCAAATAGGGGGTTATATCATACATATTACAGTTTATATATGCATATGTGTGCTTGTGTGTGTGTGTGTGTGTGTGTGTGTGTGTGTGTGTGTGTGTGTGTGTGTGTGAAAGGATGAAGTAGACCTCTGACCTTATATTCTATGGCATCCTGCTGCTTTATCATTGCAAAATCAGCTGACAACTGTCAAGCAAATATTTATACATAGGAACATACATTGGCTGGGGGGGGGATGAGAAAATGTATGACCAAAAATGTTATTTCATGATGATATGTGGCACAGAGAGGTTGTGGAATGCCCATATTGTATTTATAAATGTCTGGTACATTTACTGATAACTGAAGTGTGTGGGTTCCATAAAGCTTTGTTTGTCTCAGTGTTAGGAAAAGTGCATGCCTGCACAGGAGTGTCATGCATGCTGCTATGTTGTCTGTAGATTTCAAAAACATAAGTAGCATGATAGTATAATATTTATATCTTAATAATGCATATTAATAGTTATAACAGATTGGGAATAAGTTTAAATGCTTTAAGCCATAAGATTCAGGACCTGGCCAGATTTTAAACATAAATGCTGGTCTGTCCTGTCATCCAGTCAGTTATATTTATGTTATGAGCCCAGCAGCACCACCATGAAAGCTAGACTTGAGTCATGTTGTGGGTCACCATAGGAACCATATAACATTAATCCATAAGAGTAGAAGCATCTATAGTTTTTGTTACTGGTTTTCTATATTTTTGTCTAGTGTGAAACACTAGAGGCTTAACAGCTTAATAACAATGTGCTAACTTGCATGGTTTCCCAGCTTCTCCTTGTGCAGCACCATCAGGGTGATATAACATAGATATGTTTCAGGTTTTACAGAAATGTGATGTCTGGGGTTTTCAGATACTTTATAGAATCTGCCAAATACAATATGGATTCACTATCTGACATAATGTTCGATCTGCCAAAAGGAAGATCACTCACTGTGCTGGAAGCTTAAGGCTTAAACTTAAATATTTGTGCAGTGAAACTGAGTAAGAAAATCCACTTAGTGTAGGTTAGAAATATCTGACCTTTTGACCTTGGTCAAAGGTCATTATTTTAACTTTGTGCATTATACATTTTAAACTTTTATGTTTTATAGATAATATCTGCTTTGTTTTCTTTCCTAAGCAAAAATGATAATTAAGGATGCAGGTATTATTTTTTTAAATGCTTACTGTACAAGGTTAACAAAGTGTACAAAATTAAGTTTTTGCATTGTCCCTCACAGCCATCAATGAAAGATATTTTCACAAACCATGGATCATCTTGTAATGTCTCCCAAATGTCATGTAAACATGTAACAAGTATTACACTGTGTTTGATATAAGTAGATGCCTGCATTAACCTTTGTGTTGCATCATTCCATCTTCACAAACCCAGTAGGCCATGAATGGGTGAACAGCATACTGGAAGATATTCTGATGCCACCCTTGGATGACATTTTGCAGAACATAGGGCATAGGAATAATGACCAGCAAAATCACTGACAGCCACGACTTCGCCAAGCGTGTTATAGGCCTTTGTTTGCTTAGCACATGCTGGGGTAATTTGAACCATTGAGGGTTTTTTCACAATAATTTATGAAAGTCTGTCCCACCAAACTGTGTATAGTTGTAGGTGATTGAAGAGCAGATCTTGGTATACAGAGTTAGATGTATCTTATGTAGTGCATGTAGTGTGTGTAG